AACCAGGAGACTCGGCTGTGCCCGCAGCCCAGGCTGTGGCCACAATGGCATGGCCGGGGGGACCCACGTGCCCCTCACTCAGCCCATGGCAGGGATGTGCCCATGTGCGTTTTGTTACCCAGTGGGGGATGGACCCCTGGAGATGCCCCTCCACCTTTACCTGCACTTGAAGCGTTTCTCCGCCCCGGCCACCTCAGCCAGCTTGCGCCAGCCCCGGCTGGTGTTATCCAGGAGCTTGCAGAGCTGGGCCACCACCTCCTCACCCAGCGAGCCGACGGGCATGCTCCAGTCCCCCATCCTGTCCCAGCCCCACCACCGCCTGCATGGGGACACGGAGGGGACGAGCCGTCAGCAGGTGATGGGGTGACAGGCGCCTGCACACCTCTGGACACCGCCTGGCGCTGCTCCAGCTGGGGACAGGGTGGCTCAGGAAGGAGAGCACCAGCACGAGCTCGCCAGCGTTGGGTCACGTCCCCGCAGGAGCCCAGGAGGGTTTTGGCCTCCTTGGGGAGGTGCTGGGAGCTGGCCAGGCAGTGCTTCTGGATCCGGCCACTGGCAGCCAGCCAGGAATGACCCAAGTTCCCCCTCCATGCCTGGAGGACAAGAGCTGTGACAGAGGCACAGGAGACCCCGCTCACCCCCCAGCCTTGGGCCACGTTAGCCCAGCCCCAGGACAGGGACCCTCGTGGGACAGGGTCCAAGGAACTGGAAAGAGGGAATGTCCCCTGACACCTTCCCCATCCCTTCAGGGGACACAGAGAACAGGGCCCCTCATGGCGGGATGAGCCCGGGGACCCCTCTCCTTCTGGCAGAGACCCCAGTGGGACGGCAGCAGCCCTCTTGCTGTCTCCAGGCCCCTGGGTGGTGGCTCCGGAGCCAGCACAAGCCCTGCAGGGCCACCACAAGGAGACCACAGAAGGGGTTAGGGGAGGGGACATAGGGGTCCTGGGGCTGGGACCCGCCTCAGCTCCCCTTGACCCCAGCAAAGGCTTTGGCAGCAAGGGGAACATGGCATGAATCACCCTGGATGGGGGCAGCACCCAGGGATGGGCTCTCTCCTCCTCCCCCTGGATCCCTCCCCACTGACCCACCCTGGGTGGGTGCTTGTCCCCAGGACCAAGCCGCCTGCGACAGCTCGGTGACACTCGCCCAAGCAGGTGGGCTCCGAGACGCGGAGGGCACAGTGGGCAGGGACTCGGGTGCCCCCTCTGCTCACCTGCTGCTGGATCTGTGGGGCTGGACGCGCTGGGGGGTGGTGAGGGGAGGGCAAGCTGCAGGACAGGCACGGCGGGGACAGGGCACTCACCGCTGAATACAGCCTGGCCTGAGC